CACTTTCATTCAGTTGTTTTTACAAATGGACTGAATATGTAAAACGGGGCGCAAGTGTTTTTGGGTTCCTTGGAACTGGATGGCAAACCTTTTATGTGATTATGAAATATATTCTTACCATCTTTTCGATTGGTTTACTAATAGTATACATAATGAAATCACACATATGCTTTTTCTATCTGTGTTTTCATAACATTTCCAACGATATCATTTGGATGTTTTCATATTAAAATGACTACTACTCCGTATTACCATTCGATTGATTGCAAATCAGATGAATATGTAAACAAGCGGGCAGTGTTTTTTGTTCCTTTGAACTGGATGCAAAACCTTTTAAATGTGATTATTATATATTCCTTACCATCCTTTTCGATTGTTTACTAATAGTATACATATTGAAATTCACACATATTCCTTTTTCTATCTGTGTTTCAATACATCATTTCCAACGAATATCCTTTGGATGTTTTCTATTACTTAAATGAAACTACTATCGTATTACCATTCGATTGATTGCAAATCAAGATGAATATGTAACAACGGCCGCAGTGTTTTTGTTCCTTGGAACTGGATGCAAACTTTAATTGTGATTTATGATATATTCCTTACATCCCTTTTCGATTGTTTACTAATAGTATCATATGAAATCAACACATAATCTTTTCTCTCTGTGTTTCATACACATTTCCAACGATATCCATTTGGATGGTTTCTATATTAAATGACTACTATCGTATTACCGATTCGATTGATTGCAAATCAGATGAATATGGAAACAACGCACAGTGTTTTTGTTCTTTGAAGCTGGATGCAAAAAGTGCGTGTGGTGGCGCAGGGAAGGCTGCGGGTGCCCGCGCAACTCCCTGCACAAAGCACTGTTCGCCTCCTTCCTGCTGCGCGCTTCGTGTCGCTGCTCAAGGACGTGCTCTTCGTGCCAAGGCCTGGGGCTTTGGCCGCCGACGTGCTCGTCACGCACGACGGAGCATGTTTGTTTTTCAAAGGGTCGGTGATCTCTTCCACTGGTACAAGAAGCCGCTTACAGTGTGCCTGTAAGGTCAAATAGATGGTTTTTTTTTTGCTTTAAAACGAAACATTGGTCGTCTCATAGTGATCTAACCACAATCCAAATTCCTAAGTTTTTACTTTGCAGGATTGTATTGTAGAGCGAGGGAAATGGAAATAAGGGTCCTACTTACGGGAGGTCGTGTATTTACGTAAGAAATGACTATTGATTCTATCTCTTGTCAGAATTCAATTTCATATACAGTTGAAAACGTTCCTGAAATAACAGTCGTACATCTTACTACCGCTCAAAACTATCTTTACTTTGCATCAACAGACCTCCAACAAAGCGAGCTTTAGATATTTTTATTTTCTTAGAAAATCTGGAGATAAACTCTGAGAAAATAAAATGAACCAAAATACAGTTAGCCCCGGCCTAAACAAGTGACATCTTATGCTTGATGCACAACGTTTGAGAGGTCCCTCAGCCGCGACAGCTGTTCAGCAAGCTTTCGTCAAAGTATTATGTTTACTTTATAACTCCTTTAAGACATATGGCTTTTATGATTCCGGCCAGTCGTGTAATTATGTAAAAAAATTAAATTAATACAACGCAAAGACTGAACCACGAATAGATCTCGATCAAGCTCGGCACCTTAAAGATAGGAGTCCAGAAACATGTGCACCAGTAACTCCATCTAACATTAAAGACTCGTATTTAAAATAACATAATTTACTACACAGAAAAGTAAACTCAATGAAGTGATTTATTTTTTAAAATAATTTTTACTCAGAGCAATAGCATGGCACTTTCTAATTTCAATGAGAGTGCGTTGGGCGGGACGGGTGAGCAAGGTAGTGTGAGTGAGAAGGTGAGGCGGGGCGGCCGTGAGCGTGAGCTCCAGTGAGTGGCGTGGGCGGTGGAAACGGGCGACAGTGATGGGCGAGTCGGTGAGCAGCACGTGGGGGTGAGCGGGTGGGCGGGCGGCCGGTGAGCGGGCCGGGGCAGAGAGCGGAGAGGGCGGGAGCGAACGGGTGAGCGGGCTAGGCGCGCGCAGAGCGGGCGATGAGCAGGCGCGGTGGCGAGAAAGTGTAACCGAAAGAGGACGGGTGGTGAGGAAGCGGGTGATGGAAAAAGAGGACCATGTGCCGGCGGGTAGTGAGTAGCGTGAGTAGTTAATAGGCCCCTCACAAAACTGAGGAATGAAGCTGGCGACGGGAGTCGACGTCGCGAAAGGAAGCGGGGAGCTGGGCGGGCGCCTGGCGTTTGCGAGGCTGGCTGGGAGGTGGGGCGGCGGTTGGGAAGTGGCGGGGCGGTGCGGGCGGTGGCGGGCGGCTTGGGAATGTGCAGATGGCGGAGGCGCGGTGGGCGGTGGGGGTGGGGCGGTGGGCGGTGGGCGGGTGGGCGGTGGCGGTGGCGGTGGGCGGTGGGCGGTGGGCGGTGGGGCGGTGGGCGGTGGGCGGTTGGGCGGTGGGCGGTGGGCGGTGGGCGTGGCGGTGGCGGGGATTGGCGGTTGGGCGGTGGGCGGTGGCGGTGGGCGGGTGGGCGGGTGGGCGGTGGGCGGTGGGGTGCGGTGGGCGGTCGGTGGGCGGGGGCCGGGTGCGGCGGTGGGCGTGATGGGGCGGTGGGGCGGTGGGCGGGTGGCGGTGGGCGGGTGGGCGGTGGGGCGGTGGGGCGTGGGCGGTGGGGTGGGGCGGGTGGGCGGTGGGCGGTGGGACGTGGTGGGCGGTTGGCGCGGTGGGCGGTGGGCGGTGGGGCGGTGGGGCGGTGGGCGGTGGCGGTGGGGCGGTGGGCGGTGGGCGGGGGTGGGGCGGTGGGTGCGGTGGGCGGTGGGGCGGTTGGGTCGGTGGGCGGTGGGCGGTGGCGGTGGGGGTGGCGGGTGGGCGGATGGGCGGTGGGGAGCGGTGGGCGGTGGGGCGGTGGGGCGGTGGGGTGGGCGGTGGGGGCGGTGGGCGGTGGGTGCGGTGGGGCGGTGGGCGGGTGGGTGGGGGTGGGTGGCGGGTGGGGGCGGTGGGGGGGCGGTGGGTGGGGCGGTGGGCGGGGTTGGGGGCGGTTGGGGGCGGTGGGAGGTGGGGGGGGGGGCGGTTGGCGTGGGGCGGTGGGCGGTTTTGGGCGTGGGCGGGGGGTAGAGGCGGTGGGCGGGTAGGCGGTAGCCGGGGCGTCCGGGGCAGAAGTCGCCGGCGCGGCCGCTGGGCGCGTGCCGCCCGCGGGCGCGTGACCGCCCTTATCACAGCGGCAGAAGCTGCTCGGGCAGTCGCTGGCGCCAGCGCCCACTGGCGAACGTGCGGTTCACGGGATCACGTGCGGGCGAAAGGCCAGCGGAAAACATTCGCTCTTGGCTCCACTAGGAAGACCCGTGGTGCGATGGTCAGAACACTCTTGTCATAGATCGTCAACATAAAAAAAAACATCATGGCGTCACTTACATCAGCAGGCGTAGAGAAGCCATTCCTCACTGCTATCGAGGGGGAGCCCTGTTGAACACAAGCGCCGCCTACAACAATAACTGATACGTTTTTACAAGTTCGTTTTCTCGCTACTCTCTTGACGGCAACCAATTTTCATTTGTGGAAAGTACAGTGCATCTCGAACCTTTTCCTCCGCCACTTTCGGGGCATGCGCATATCATGTTTTTTTTGTATGTTGTCGAGCTTTACCTTTCAGTACAGATTCTTTCACTGTGATCGGAGCCTCGTTTGCGCATGTGCAATGATAACGTCTCCTACCATCAGGTGCAGTACAGTCAATTGTGGAAGTTGTCACTTTACTGAGCGCTTCTACTGTCAGTTGTAACGGTAGCTTTTGTTTGTTCTTGCACTCCGATGACGAAAAACTTTCTTTTTATTGTTATTTAAAATGGTTTTGCAAGAGAGTTTGTCTGAACGTAATAGTAAACAGCATTTATGTTAATAAATTTACAGTTACATTTTTTGAAGTAACACTGTGCTAGCTAACACCGACATAAAACCTTACAAACATGTAAGGTTCTGAGTTACCAGTAGACTGTTGACGTGGCAGACGTAGAAGAATTGCGGTGGGATATGATTCTCCTCCTCTCTCGCACTTCTCTCCCTCCATGCCAAATGCTATGCTCTGATCTATGCCGGCGTTCATATTCCGGTCGATACATACGGAATATGTGGTGGTAACATCAGGTTTGCAGCAGGTTTTCTTGGGGTTATCGTGTTTCTTTGCTTCTCATTTCAATTATATCAATATCATCATCACCGACTATCGTTCATCCATCAAACTATGGTATGCATTCTAGGCATGACCGAAGAGGCTGATATTCAGCATTAAAATGAAAATTAGTAATTGATTTCTCAGCTAATGTAAATACACACTTTGAGGCACAAAGTAATTTATTTCTTTGCTGTTTTTTCGAAGCATTCATGGCCACAGAAAAGTCTCCCTTGAAATACACTTTTCAATTATTCACAAAATTCAACGGTTACAATCATTTCAGTTCAGGGGTAGTGAAAGTATTGAATTACCAAGTGGCGAAGTTACTCTCAAAACAAACAAAAAATAAAGACTTTCTGTAACAAAGCTGAAGCTACAGATGATATATATTATTACCCATAATTAATTATAGACCCATATCTATAATTTCATATACGAATTATTTAAAATGTATTTATTAGTACTCCTAATTCGTTTCATCTTCATCAGTTGTTCAAAGAAACATGATGTATATTTATGAATTCTCAATTAACTCTGAAATCAAAATTACTATCATGTTCAAAATCTCATGCAAAGCACGTCAAAAAATACTTCATTATTGTCTAGTGGGAGACTTTTTATAGATGGTAAAATGAGTTGCTGCAGGAAATTCCGCATCACTCTGAATTACAAACTTGCTCTAAATTTCCGATAACCACTCACATTTCAAGTAATACTTAATACATTCACTCATTCTCCGCTATTGGAAATAAGTTTATTTTCAATGAGAATTAATAACAGGTAATATATTTTATGAATTCCTATGCACTAAATTATGATAAATATTTTATTACTGACGGCCATTGTCGTTTTGTTTCAGAACTGGCTGTGTAAGCTGATTATAAGCTTATGGCAGTACGTCATCATGGCAAACTACTCATGGATCCTCATGGAGGGACTGTACCTGCACAATCTGATTTTCCTAGCACTCTTCTCGGACACTAGCGCCATTCGCTTGTATGTCGTTCTCGGCTGGGGTACGTGGCTTCAAAATGCTATCGAATTTGTGTGATACAATAAGACACATGGTTTTCTTCCCTACAAATCGGTAAATACATAAGCGGAATGGATATGAGTGTCATTGTGGCATCCTTTTACAAACATAATGAATCAATTTTTGTGGAATGACCCACAAAAAAAGTCTAAATGCTGCCCATTGAAGATGGTGTACACAATCTTTTCTAAACAATATTAACTGACATTGCATTAGAAATAAAACGTATGCTCATAGCTAAACCACTTGAATTTCATCTCAGTGTGTGAATTTATTATGACTTCATAAAGCAGTGATCATTAACTCGTGTTCATTGAGCAGGTTATACGTGGGAGAAAATAATATTTTTTATATTTGACGAGAAATCTATACGTCTGAATTTAACCTTTCAATTGCATGTAATACAACTATTTGGGCATTATTGCTTCGCTTTTTTTGCAGAAAATTAGATAAATAAAACCTTATACAATAAGACTTATAATATTAATCACAGAATGACATTACATTAAATTATCAAATATATATGAAAGCATACAAAACATTTTCCTATTAACGTTTAAATTCGTTATTATATGAACGCACTCCTGGCGTACATTAGTTTTTCGTAGTATTTTTATTGGTTTGTGATACCAGTAAATCTGAGACGTAAAACTCCGATCATGGAGGTTACATACATAAGCATAAAGCATATATTTTCTATAGCTACTTGTCCGCCTAGGAGACGCCTAGGCACCTGTGCCTAGGACGAGGCGTCTCCCAGACAGCCAAGTAGTTACGGACCCCGGCCGTGGAAGCCTACGCTATAAGGTATTCTCTGCTACAGTGAAATTCGTTTTTCCACCTATCCCACACCGTCTATGACATAGCCAATCGTAAAACTTATCCATTGGTGTTGTGAGGGGGGCTCCCCTCATTGGGAGAGAGTGCTTTCACCGCTGCGCGATGGTGCGAATTGGTGCGCAGGGCTGCCGGTGCTGTTCGTGGGTCCCTGGGTGGCGGCACGCACTCTCCTAGAGGACGAGTTCTGCTGGACCACCAACAACTCGCACCTCTTCCTGCTCATTCGCCTGCCTATCGTCGCGTCCGTGCTGGTGAGTCACTCAACACCACTCCTCTTCGGGGAGTCGGGGAGAATCTTATTCGTGCTAAAAAAAAATCAGTGTTACAGAAACATTTTCTGTAATAATGTTAATACTAACAATGAAGTCGTAGGCTTCCGCGGTCAGAGTCATGTGCGTGATCACGCCGCGTCGAATGCTGTGTTGCCGACGTTTCGACCATCCTGTCGTGGTCTTCCTCAGGGCTGGTATGCGCCGTGAGGTCAGCAGTCGGCTGTATATGCATGTCTGGGCCGAACACATTGGCGAGTATATCGGACAGCAGATGTGACCCCCCCGCCTGCTAACTGCGCTTCCATTGGTCCGTGCGCCAGCGACAATAGTACTCGGCCAACCACATAATACACCTCAGCGCTAGACCACACGGGCACATTTTCACCCTTGAGAAGACCACGATACAGATGGTCGAAACGTCGGCAACACAGCCTTCGACGCGGCGTCACCCGGACAGCCCAGATCACGCACTTAATACTAACAAGTTTCCTCTTAGTAATAGGATATATAGAAGTATTTATTTACAAATTCAAAAAGTTCATTACGCCGCAATCGGCGGCAAATGGCGGCGTAGACCAATTCAACAAGCGCCTACTTTGTGGTGTGGGGCCTACGTCGCTTACAACACGCTTTCGTTCATTCAACACAATTTGTTACACATCAATAGTCAGAATGAAATTTTCCACAAAATATATTTATATTCATTTGCTCTTAAAAGTCTATTAATCAATCATACTAATAATTCAAAACTAAATTTTTGAAATGTTATCCTCTTACTTTATCTGTTATATTAACAAACATGCATACCTAGTAAAAGTACCTACCTAGTAAAAGGATAGATTGAAGATTCTATGCGTTCAAAAGAGACAAGGACGTCAAGACAAAGGTCTCAAAACGAAATTCAGCTCCAGGATTTTTTTTCGTAGATAAGGCATTTCGTCTAATATTACGGGTCTTTAACTTCTCCAGTCGCCTATGCTAACTAAATCGGTAAACAAAGGACTCATGAAATCAAACTATATGAGATAAAAAGGAAATAATATTTTAAATTAAAATTTTACAAAATCATGGAAAATATTTACGTATTGATTGAGAGTTCAATATGGAAAAATTAAAATTTGTAAATATTCAAAAGAATAATTGCATTTTATCTCCTCTGGATATGAATTTACTTATCGATTTATTGCTGTATTTGTAAAATCAGATTGTCCTTATTCTCAGCGATTTATTCAACTAGGCAGAGGTCGGACACATACAATGCAAGAGATCTTTGATCTTTTATCTTCCACAACTTTCTTCGATTGTTTCTGAGGTTATCTCTTGGGAAGACACGAGGGCACCTCCTGTACTCGTCTTGACCGACGTTAGTACATATGCGACTCGGAATATGCAAACTCATTATTTGGACGACATGGCTTAAAAAGATCACGAGATCGTCAACTGACCTTTGGACTGTTGTCCAAGTTGAATATCCCAACAAACACGCCGAATATATTCCACTATATGTAAAACTGATTTCATTAATTTTCAGCGTTCAATAATAATTGTTTAGAAAATGAAAAGTCATTTGAATCAAGGTACAAGACGTACATTCCGTATATTCACGTGTGTAGTGATTTTTCTAGTATTGACTTACATGAAATTTGAAAGAGTATGTTATGATTTCTTTTCTTCAGTATAATGAACGACCATTTGATAATGTGATAGTCGTAAAATGAATATCTTGTTTAATTGCGAAAATTTCTCAAGTAAAACGTGATAAGAAGTAATTATTACATACACGTACAAACAGGGTATATAGTCCTCCTACTATTTGTTGTTTACGAATGGAAAAATATATTGATCTCTTCCGAAAAGGCATCAATTTCCATGTTTTCTATTTAATTTCTGAATGAAACAAAATATTAAATCAACTGATATTGTAAAAAATAACGCTTGCGGTTAGTACAGATTTAATAACTAAACCCTAAAGTGCATTTTCAATATAATTTAAAATATTTTCAAAATCGACTAAAGACGCAGCCATTTCAATCGCAACTAATTTAAATCACCAAAAAAAGCCTTGTTTTATTTAGTATTTTTAGACATATTTTAGAGAAATATAACAGTGTACATCCTAGAATAGTTTATACTAGAGCAAACATTACAACTAACATAGTATTTTCAATACAATAATGTTCTGAACTAAAAATATTTATCGAGTCCGTTTCATACCGGGAAGTTTTATGACTATCAACCTATTATGACTCATGAATAGTTTTTCTCACAACACTACTCCGATGTTTTGACACTTTCGCCCCACAAAGTAAGCAATATCCTCTTGAAAGACTACATGTTATTTGCTTACATACCTTTTGATCTACATAAATCAATATATGAGTGTTCTGTTTGCGTTTCTTCATCTAAGCACATGGAAACTTTTTATTGTGTTTTGATTTAGATATCGCAATTCTCACTCCCTTTATTGGCTCAAAACAATTGAATTTTTATTCTAGAATATCCCCAAGGTGTTTTTCAACCGTCATTACATCTAAAATTATTTCTCTAGATTGTAATATACCTTAAATCTCATGCCTGGGCATATTTGATATGGAGTCCAAATTTGATATGGAGTAAAAACCACTCATCTTACAAGGTGTTTGAATATTACGTAGTGTGTACCTGGCACAATTACTCTTTGTTGAATATTCATTTCCAGTACAGTGGAGATCGCAAGCCTTGCTCTTCAAAGTCAGAAAAAATAAGTACGTAGACAATTGAAAACTCCCTATCTCAAGACTTCCAGTATTTATCGGATCAATTGGTCACAGAATGTTTAAAAATTTACAGAATTGAAAAAAGTAGCGTAATTTGTAAAGAGCTGCCCATTCATTTACATAATGTTTAAATAAACCATTATAAAGTAGAGGTCTAAAGGATATGAATATTTACGTGATAAAATAATCGATTCTATCCAGTACTGCTCTAATGTAGTTTTGAAATCTGTCTTCAGGTCAGTTTCGGACTTTTCATTAACATTTCACGAGTTCTGCTGACTAAGCTGCGTTTTGCACCACATCTGGAAAGACGTCGAGTTCGATATCGGTAAGTATAACGGTCATGTATAGATGAAAGCATACTACTTTGGAGCTCGAAATGGTACTTATATATCCTCTGGAAATAAAGTCAAATTTACTTTTGAAAAGGAAGGCGTTTACACACTTCAAGCAACTCTGCTATCTTTCAAAGTAGTCGTAGGTAGGTGGGGCCCATTTATACGGATGTTTTGATGAATTGTCCTGTTGCTGTTTTGCGTTTTGACATGTTAAAATCTAAGTTTTCTAAAGCTATTATTTAACAATAATTTTGTAGTTATACTTTCAACTCTATTTTACATTTAATCGTTTAAAATGATAGAGTGGAAGTTGAATGCATAATCTTATCCAGGATAAGAGGCAAGTTCATATATCTATTAGGTCACGTTTAAACAAATCCCTGCGTAAAAACACTCAGAAATACTCTATACGTTCCTGATATACTGTAGTGTAAAAATTCTTGCTAATTTCAAAAACATCTTTTGGAATAACGTTCAGATATCTAATTACATTCCACAGATTTCGGTCTAAGCATAAAATTTGCAATGTGATAATTAATATCAATGGAAACGAAATAAAATTGAAATTACAAACCAGGGAGAAAATGGGAGTCAAAATTTATTAGCCACGCTGGGTGTCTATAGTTTTCCAACTAGAAAATTCTAAAGACTTTTGGCCATATCAAGGATGAGCCTATGGATCAACTTTGAATTGTTTGGGTATTACCATTATTGTATTGCTTGTGGCTACTAAAACGGAATCACAATTTAGAGCATTGCAACCGATATACAGTAAATAACAGACATGATTGAAGTTTGTAAGCAGTGACAGTAACCGAGTTTGTGTTATCGGTAGTGTGTTCAATATTTTTCGTACTACAATCATTTTATAGGAAATACTCATATAAACAAAAAATACAATTTATGAGAATATATTTTCTCCATGCTTAGCTACAACTCATTTGTTTCGATTGCTCTTAACGGACATAGGACTGTTAAATCTGAATGAAACGCCGGCCATTGAGAGTCTATTTTCCTTCCTCTGGTTGGAAAAAATAATAGTACAGATTTTTTTAAACAAATAAACAGTTTCCTGTATTGTAACTATCGATATTTTAAAATCTGTATTAATTGCTTCTGGTTGTAATTTTGGCGCGGAGAAAAATTTAATTCGATACTAGCGTTCGTGTTTAATGTTTAATTAAGAATTATAAGTCAAAAAAGTTTCAAAATATGACATTTATGAAAATGTTTGCTGTAAGTGTGCGTAATACAGAAAATACGCCTTACTATATTATTTGGTCGACGAAAATACAATTAACACTTCTTTATTTATAACTATTATAGACCGCAATATTTGTATTGACTTTTGTAAAAACAGTTTCCCCATGAATAGTACTACAAACGTCTAATTACTAACTCCTACTAACTTAACGTCCTCGCGAGAATCTGAGACTGAAGGCCTGAGCACTCAGGGTCATTACAGGGATACGGAGCTTCCTCAGTTCCCCGAAAAGGGAACAGGAAGAAGGGGGGGGGGACGCCTACGCCTGTGGCGCCGTATACCATGGCGCCTCTTCGCTTGATACGAAGACAGGCATAGAAAATATCACAGCATTGGGGTCATCGCTCAGCCAAGAGATGCTCTGCTCTGCACTGCTCGATGAAGGTCCGTCCCGTTGGAACACGTGACTCAGCAGTTACATGTCAATACTTCATCTCTTACAAAATTGTGACTATTGAACTGTATCATTTACGAAAAAATTGAAAACGTAAAAATATCAAGCACTAAAGATCGATGTTACAAATATCGGCTTTAAAACATCAGCTTTAAGACATCAACTTTAAAACATCGGCTTTAAAACATCAATGTTTAAAACATTGATGTTTTTATTAAACGCCGATGTTTTCAATACACCAACATGGATGTTGCATCCCTAGTAAAGACCGGTGCGCGCGTTGGTTGGCAGGCGGTTCGCGCGCTCCACGCTGGTGCTGGTGCCGCTGTTCGGGGTGCACTACACCGTTTTCCTGGCCATGTCCTGCGGCATCGACCGCTACCCCCGCCTGGAGCTGTCCTGGCTCATCTGCGACCAGTTCTTCGCCTCCTTCCAGGTGAGGTGCGGGTACCCGGACGTGCAGACTTGGGGTACATCCAAAGTGAATTAGGGACTAATAACTAGATCCAGAAAGTTCATTTTACCTAAAATAGGAAGGCAAAAAGGCATTTATAATACTAAAATTGTCTTGAAAGGGACATTTATTGTAGTTAAAGTAACGGTGCAAAAAACCGTGTTAACAGTAAAAAATCACTTTTAAAAGGAATTACTGTAAAAAATTGATAATTAAAATGATCTAAATTTTTATTCTAATTTAAGCACTTAACGATCATTTAATTGTAAACTTGTTTCCAAATGAGCATCAGGTGATACGAATTTATTTTATTCCCGACACTGTCTCTTCGAAATGAAATAGTGCATTAGAGAAAACGGAACTATGTTTTTTGTTCTTCTAACTTGGGAAATTGTCAGCACTGAGACGGGTATATCGCATAAAGGGAGTTCCGTCCTCAAATAAGATTGGAGGCCATACTCAAAACGTAGGATGGGATTCCTCATCAGCGAGAAAAGAATATCGCCATCAATAAAAAAAAATCTTCTTGCTTTGATTGACTATTGATGCGCAAGGGCTGTTGGTGGCTCTGCTGTACTGCCTGCAGAGCGAATGACTGTATCGACAAAGGATTGTTGCGCAGGGGCTGTTCGTGGCGCTGCGACTGCTGCGAACGAATGAATGATCAACGAACGATTGTTGCGCGGGGTAATTGTGGCGTTGCTGTTCTGCCTGCAGAGCGAATGAATGAATCAATCAACAATCGATTCGTTTGCGCAGGGGCAGTACGTGGCGCTGCTGTCTGCTGCTGACCGAATAATGAATCACGATCGAATCGTTGGCAGGGGCTGTTGTAGCGCTGCTTACTGCCCTGCTGAACGCGGAGGTGCGGTGGCTGAGCTGGCGCGCAAGTGGGGGCTGCTGTCAAAGCGGGCGGCGGCGCAGCGGCTTGCGGCGGGAGGCCGGCGGCGCCCTGGGCGGCGAGGCGGGGGGACGGCGGCGAGAGGGCCAGGAGGCGGAGCGAGGGGCGCGGGCGTGATGGGGGCCATCGTGGGCGGCTGGCGGCCGTCGCGCGGCGCCTCGCTCTCCTCCGTGCTCACCTCCGAAACGCTCGTGCGGGTGAGACACGCTTCTTTATTCTTTGACCCATTTACTCTTTCTTCTTGGCTAGGGTTAGCAGATGACCGTATTTAGCAGGGCATGGCCGTACATTTAGTGATTGTCCTGGCGTCCGAACTTATTTTCCAAATTTAGCAAATTGTTCGTATATTCGTGTTACAAATAACGATCGTCTATATAAGTACCTTTTTTTAAGCATCGTCTTTTCCAGCATTTAAACAAATGCTTTTCCTAAAATTATATTTTCTTACTTTTTTTACTGCAATATTTTGACTCTAAGTCACTTTTTTTTTTTAATTTGTGAAATATATTAAATGGACCTCCCATTTTTCACTAAGGAGTAGGTGTGAAAATTTTAACTTTTGACTCATGTTTTCTGCTTGTAATTTGACACTTTAAGATTTTTTAGGTAGGATAATTATCGGCGTAGAGTGCACCAAGTGAAAATTATAGAAATTGTTCAACTACACACCGCGTTTTCCTCTACAGCGTACGTCACTACCTAGCACGTCCCTTGCTGATACCCAATGCAGACAGCCAAATAGATGCTGTAGCCATTCATCTAAACAGAGTGCAACAAGCTTACTAATCCCATACCTTACACATTGCTGAGTAAAGATGATAGAACTTTTTAATGCACCTTTCTTACCGCTCTTAAAAAAATGTCATTTAACCGAATGATCTATTGGTTTCCTCGATCAAATTACTTATTGTACTTTAATAATAATTGTACATCTCTCCATAATTCGTAACACATAGCTTTAACAGATTTTAACGTTAAATAAATAAGATGGGTTAAACGCGGGCCCATAGCTTTTCTAGTCATTCACTTGCAACTTCTTCCGCAGCACATGTTGCAATCTATGACATGACAATGGCGCAGCCTTCGCTCTTCTGCTAAAAAGAGGCCCGACATCTCCAACTCTTCAAAAATTATTTGGCTTACAATGATAATGATGGCGATAAATACAAAATAGTGTAAATACTTTCACTGTTCTTCTCAAAACCACATTTGACCAATTAATTTACACTCAGAAAATTTACTGTGAGTTAGAACGATGTGTGCCTGGTGAGGCTTTCGGGGCACAACGAAGCATTAACTTTCATTTCCCTTTACAGAAGGAGTCGCTATCTATCGCTTGACTTGCAGGTGGACCTGATGTTGTCATTCGGCTGAACAAGAAGCAAACGTGATAGCGATAATTAAAGAAGGAAACACATAAAAATGCACTTACAGTTTTTCATGCAATAGCACGTGCACATCGCTTGATTTAAAATGGCACCTCAAGGTCAAGTACGAGAAAGTGAGAGGGATAAGTGTCTCCAAAAGGGAGCTCCGTCACTAGTGATGACAAATCCAACGTCTTTCTCAACAGGGCTGGTGGTCGCTGCCATGTGCTTACCATGTGTTAACCGCGCCGTGTGTGTGGCAGCACAGTAACTTGACCTTGAGGCGTCATTAAAAATAAATCGAAGTATAACCGAATGATTGAATTTTTTTCACAATGACCAAATTCAACGAGCTTTAGGTGGACGAGCGATCGACGTGGAGAGCGGATGCTGCTAATCACTAAACTGTATTTTCCTCCACAGCGAATACCGCTACCTCCCGCTTGGCTTGCAGGTAGTCCAGAAATCATCATTCTGCTTAACATGCAGAGCGTATAGCGATGGCGATAATCAGAATGAAACACAAAATAGACATTTGTTTCGCAATAGCATGTAACTGTATGAATTGTTTCCGTTATGGTAACATTCAACGTGCTTTAGGAGGGCTTCGAGCTAAGAGGGCGAGCTAAGAGGGCGAGTTAAGAGGGCTAGCTAGGAGGGCGAGCTAAGAGGGCGAGCTAAGAGGGCGAGCTAAGAGGGCGAGCTAAGAGGGCGAGCTAAGAGGGCGAGCTAAGACGGCGAGCTAAGACGGCGAGCTAGGAGGGCGAGCTAGGAGGGCGAGCTAGGAGGGCGAGCTAGGAGGGCGCGTATCGTGCCAACCCACTCACCTTCATTTTCCTCCACAGCGCCTCCTGCTACCTCCTGCGTGGTTAGCAGGTGGTCCATACATGACTATTCCGCTAAGTAAGGGAGAAAACATACATTGATGGCGATAATCAGAATGAAACACAAAAACCTGCGCATGGTTATTTTTCATGCGATAGCATGTAACCGAATTATTGAATTGTTTCTACAATGGCAACATTCCACGTGCTGTAGGAGGGCTTCGAGCGAGAATCGTGCCAACCCACTCACCTGCATCTTCCTCCACAGCGCCCTCCGCTACCTCCCGCTTGGCTTGCAGGTGGCGCAGCCGTCGGCGAACGGGGGGGAGGCGGTGTCGCCGCCGGCCGTGCACTCCTTCGTCCCGCCCGCGCCGCCGGCCGCCGCCGTCGCCGAGGGGCGCTCGTGGCCAGCCAAGGCGCCGCCGGGCCGCTTGTTGCAGATGGCGGAGCTGGGCCGCGCCAACGGACGCGTGCGCACCATCTCGGCCTCCGAGGACGAGCGGGAGCGCGTGCGCAGCGCGCAGGCTTAGGCGCCGGACAGGACGCCTGCTCCAACAGAATCGCGCCCCGCTTTGGCATCGTTGGGCTGATTCAACCCGCCGCCGCTGCATTGCACCATACGGTTTGGTGCGCCTGGTCTCAGCTCTCGACCCGACCGGCCAACCGGCTGGCGGTTGAGGGGAACCGTGTTCTACATACGCCAGCCCACCACAGCGTGTTTCACCCTGATGAAGGTCGCAACAAAACGACTGAAACGTTGGCCGCTGAATCTAGGACGCGCGTCTTTCCGCCAGCCAATTAGATGCTCACTCCGGCGTGGATGTCTACTCTTTTAGCTGCTCCGCTTGTCTCGTTCCGGATACACGATTTTCCGATAAATCACCGAATCGTCACCGCTGTAAGGGTGTGTTCTGGAGCGTTGGAGTGGATTTTATATGTACCCTCTTCCTAAATTTAGTTTCCGCACAATGTGCGGCAACATTGTATTTGGCAAAAGCGCCAGAACGCGGGATGACTACTTCAAGAGGATTACGTGAAACGTTTTATATGATGGAGATGATCCAATGGACATTCACCAACCGCCTACCATCAATGAATGGTCTTCACCAGTGCGAATAGTTCCATCAGAGTTCCCATCCGTGTGCACAAAGGTACATTGTGACGAGCATGATGCGCGCCGAGTGAACCAATTCAGTGTCCAGCACTGACACCAGTTTTGTGTGTCGATTCTATCTTGTGTTTGCGTAGAAATTTTTGACAGTTGTCTTTTGCTCATGGCTACCTAGATCATTGTCCTCTTCTCTTTACTGCCATCAACCATACCTCATGCATTCCGCTACCCCTCTATCAAACTCATTCCTCTCCACCAAATCTGAGCCACCTACCTGCATCGTAATGCTCACCGCATCGACCAATCAGTACGTGTATTGCAATTATATGCAATTATGCGTGTACGCAATTATATAATGCAACGTACCAGCCGGGCGATAGAAGACGACCACGACAAAATAACAGAAAGGGAAACCCAACGACGTAGATGCAACACTTGTCAAAGAGCCATGAGCCATATTCCAGGATGCATTGGCATCCAAAATTATGCCAGTTAGTTCCGCCCACACATCGATGACATGTAATCACGAAGAATAAGCTCCCACGCCGACATTCTCACATCGAAGAAAGATATGTACATACAGCCCTCACGAAGGGGGCAATTTCTCAGAGAAATCAAGGTGAAGGATGTGTTGTGTTGTCTAGTTCTGGGTAAACTGTACGTCCAAAGCACGTTACCAAAACATACAGTGGACTTACAGCACTTCATTCGAGCTATTGAACATACCGTGAACTTACGAGTACATCACTACATTATAACTCTTGAACTACGATGTGTGTAATTTGGATAGAAATCTCGTCCCAGGCACAAGTACGTCTAGGGCATGTACCCTACACTTGGATAGTGAATATATGAACAGAATAAAACTTAAGAGACATAGAATATTACTCAAAACGTAATGTTGTCTCGATCTAAACCTGTTTTGTGTCAACAAAACGTGTACATGACATTCAAAGTTTCAATATATTTCACCACTAAAAAACAAAATGAATTCTGTATTTTGCAAATCTCGATCCGGGAACACCAAAACACATTGCCTATTCATAAATATAAGAGGCGAGAAATAATGCCATATCTAAAAAAACAGATCTAGTTCAACGAATTTCGCTTCTTTTCTGTTTCGTTCCGAACCTACTCTGCGCGTTCGTCACCCAAACATTACGTAAACAAAACCATCAACAAAACGTTTTTAGTACCACAAAGTGAATCTCGCGATTTGAAAGTTGACCTAGACACACAATAGAGTATAAGGAAGTCATGTTATCAAAAGGAGAACACAATTCGTGCGATGAGAGGAGAAGCTTTAGGGAGTCACAGTGAGATCTTGTTCCGATGCCACTGGGTGTGGATATGATGCCATAGTGCCATTTCAGGTCAGCACTAGAATGTCAAAGTGTATCCCAATCAACGACAAGGCATGTGAGAAGCATGCATCACATTGCAGTTCATCAACTTTGGAAGTGTTAAAATATAATTTTGGCGTGTGTACCCAAACCGTCTAAAGTGACCATGTAATGTGAATATGTTTTCATCTCTTGGACATGGAAGAGAAGAGAAAGGGTCACCAATATACCAACAATATGAATTGGTCAAACATCAATTCTAGGGTAGCAATTGTGATAATTAGTCCTAAAATGTCCAGTCATTTACGTTGCTGAGAAACCATCAGCAATATTGTCAGTATAATTTGGCGTCCGTATTTCTTGCTTGAAAAGAGTGGCTATATTTCGTATATTTTTTCTTTCGACACTACCTCAAATACTCGAGAACTGTTGTCTCCGGTGTAAAGTTAATTTAGTTAAACAAACGCATTCTGAAGAGCAATTATTATAATAATTATTTTTATTATTTAATTTCATGTAATAATGTGCTCTACAACATGGACGTTTGTTGTCGAGATTATTAATAAGGGAGATACTACAATATTAGAAACACATTCACTGTTAGCGCTGCAAACTGATTAACGGTGTTGTTAAGAAGTGCATGTGACATTACTGACATTGGATTTCCACGTGCTTTATATAATTTCATTCTACTGCTTCTTGTTCATTGTACATTTGACTACGAAATACATACGTACTAAAGTATTTTTGTAATTAATCTACGAAATGACAAAAGAACATCAACGCTGTATTCTGGAACAGTGATTTACGTTAAACATCAGTGTTTAGCGATGGAGAACAAGTATGCAATCAACCGAGGAACGGGATTCAACGTAATATTTATTTCAGTCACGCAATTGAATTATTCGTGTGCTAATACAAAAAAATGATGCATGCTTATGTAATTGTGCTTAAAGACAGTAACTTTTAATAGTGCAACATGAAGAATTTTATTGTATTGAAAGCGTTGTTCTGGATTATTGACAACCGCACTAGGTGCTGTATGAAGACGGGTTTCTGTGTGTGTTTCATCTCCTATTGTTGGCTTATTCCCTTCACTGTGAATATTTACATTGCGGATTATCAGAAAAAATATTCTTTCTTTTCTTGAGCCAGGTGCCTTATATTATTCTAGTCATTCATTTCTGATAAATGAAACGAAAGTACGTATATTTTTCAACTTTAATATCATTTTAATAAACAGTATATATACACATGGATATTAAATGCTCCTAAATCTGTAATTAAAGGTCTCTATGTACAACAGCGCAATTTATGAAAAATATATTGTTTCCTTACCTTGGATGAATTTTGTAATGGCTCCGCGCAAAATTATGTTCAATGTCACTTAATTAAATTTTGATTGAAAAGTTTTTTTTTCTGTGTCAATTCTCGAAATGAATGGTATGTTACCTGGTTGACATGTTCCTTGAACAGCTACATTTTTGTAAGTAGTACTTTGTATTATTTAGGGTTTACGTATTTGTTGTAATATATACAAATTGTACATTTCATGAAATTTATGCTAACAAAATAGAACTGTGGTTGTGTAATGCGGAATATTTGGAAACAAAAAAATGTTCATTTTGTGAACTAGCATTTTAATAATCACAATCAATAGATGAAATTACACTAAAATAGAAAATGTAAGTAGTATATACAAAGGTAAATGAGATCATCAGAATATTACTAAAATAAAGAGATCCTCAACTCTGTGAAAATTATGAAACACAACGTTTGTGCAATTCAAATTCAAACCTCGGAATATTTGTTGGTAATACTAGCTTCAGTTCAATTCACATCATGTGAATGAAATATGTTCTCCACTTAAAATATGATTCCCCTTTTCAGAAAAATTCAAATGATACATTAGTTTGATTATTTACATTATATTTACATAACATACTTCTTATTAACATTATGACTACTTAAGACATCTTCAGATTTCACGTAGTTCTTATAACTTTGCCTCAAGAGTGTTATTACACCTCAAAAGCATTGGTTTGAAAAGTAGATCAATATCTACAAATTCAACTAAGGAAGGTACGTTCATTGAATTTGCTGATAACACAGTGATAACACTGATAAAATGGCACAATACGTAAAAATTAAAGATAATATTGTATACATATTCATCACATATGATTATCATATCGCACTATCACTACAAATATTGTAGAAAAACTTATGTACAACTTCTGTTTACGAACGTCCCCCACAGTTCCATTCAACATTTGATTGCTCGTCTCCAACAAAGGAATCACAGCCATTTTCAATATTTTGAGGGATATCTTCACACACATTCGTAAAGAATTTACATTTAGTGAATAAATAATAATTCACATTTCATTATAATTAATATTTTCACTTCTATTTCCGGGAACGTATGAAGTTCCTAACAAATAAAAGGATTGAGTGCACAAATACTCACTGTCGGATATTTGCTTTCGATAACACGTTTTTGAACTATTTTTGTTTACTAATTTCCACTTTCTGCTCGAAATTGTACTTTTTTCGACGCCACGACAAGAGTTGTGAAGTACTACATATTGTCTCAACAAGCATGTTTTCGTTGAGAGTAGACTTATTTTTCGCTCGCAAACTACCATTGCTCACTGCGATAACTGATGTATTGAATCGAGCACTTTGTTACTGAAGGGATGGAGTGTTAAAATACCTTCCCGAAGTACAACCAAATCCCGGCCAATGTTAACGCAATGACTGCGTAGCATAGAAGACGAATTTGTTGTTACTGATCACCATAATAAATTGACAAACAAGTTAAAATTATTACCTAACTGTAGTTCAAGAATTTTGGATTATTGATGGTTTTATAGATTTGTTTTCCTAAGAAAACTGAATGAGCTATACGTTAAATTCTCTAAAAATTTGGTTAACGTAAAATGCAAATCAAAGATTTGGCATTAAAACAATAAAGTGTTACCAGCACACTTTGCCCACACACTCCTGAAATACGTCCATATACTATACTCTTAGACCGAAAACGTTTTAGCAAAATACTTTCAATACTTCAAACGATAAAGCTAGCATCTAATGTTTCTATATCGTTCTACGATACGCTATGCACAAACTCCCTACCACCATCCACCGCGCTGCTACTCGCCATTCGGAGCAGCGTCGCGCGTTGAAGTCTCCCGCTCAGAGGCAGACGAAGGCGCCGGCGGAGGCGGCTGGGGAGGGGGAGGGGGCGGGGGCGGGGGCGTGGAAGCAATCGAGCAGGTCGAAGGCGTCGCTGCGCCAGACGGCAGCCGAGGCGGCGGTCGCGTACTGCAGCAACAGCGCCAGCCCCGCGCGTTGCCCGCCGCCGGCCGCGCCGCCCACGCACACCGTCCCGTCCTCCGCCTGCAAGCGCACGCACACACGCACCCCACTCACGCAGGTGCTTACGGCCGCGTGAATAGGACTTTATGCAACTAGTTTATAATGTTAAGCTTTTTATTGCACGAGTGCATGTTTTGAAAACGAGCGACGTTAGGAGCGAGTTTCCAAATTTGTACGAAAGCTTTATTGGATGAGTACATGTTTTGAAAATGAGCCACGTTAGTAGCAAGTTTTCAAATGTATACGGATGCAATAAAGCAACATTATAAACGAGTTGCGTACGCTATTTGTTGTATAACAGCATTATTAATTTATACGAGAATCAAACTTAATATTGTGTGAAAACTTTCTTGTGACGTCTCGCGTAGTTGTCATCTGTGGTCGGTTGTTCCGTTTACTGCTACCTCTCAACGGTTGTCTCGCTGCGTTTGGCTGAATGCGTGATGACGCAATCATTCGTGCCGTAAAGGCTAATACGTTATCATTTGTGCCGTAATATGTCCTTTTATGAACGGTTTCTTGCGTCAGGAAAGGTCGTTTATAATGCTGGTATACATAAATAGTATTTTAAGGGTTAAAGGTATCACAAAAGAGACCAAAATTAAGATACGTAAACTAATATTTAGAAGTATCTTGACTTATGGATCTGAAGTTTCGAGGTTACGTTGACAGTTAAAAGGAAAATTATTGACAACGGAAATGGATTATTGAAGAAGGTAGGTATGAATGAATGAATGAACAAAGAGGCTTTCTGTACACTTCAGGATGTCCAATACACCATTTACTGGACATGTGATTACGATCATAATTGGTATTTTGTTCCATTGTTGGTAAATAACAGCAAAACGCAATATTTCCAGTTCTTGATATTATACTGAGTAAGTGATAATGAATAACTGGAATTATACTGACCTTCAAGGGAAGATCACATGAAATCTAGCGGATTTTATCACTTCATCGGTTCAAGTAAAAATTAAAACAAACCTCTCTGGCGAATGAAGAATAACAGGATTGTTTGTCAGCTAGCTTCACCCTCTTTGTAACTTTTGTACAAATGTAAACATCCGTCCTCATTACTGATTAATTTCGAAAATATTATATAATCGGCTTAACATTTTTAGTTGGTCATCTTGTAACTCAATTGTGTAGTCTTAAATAGTTCTAACATTATTAAAAACATGACTAAAATATATCATAAATTAAATTATTATTTATTTTTAAAATTTGCAAATAGCATTTTAGATTTTGCAGTTGCTTTTCCTCCCCTCTGAACTGGAAAAATCGAGCTTCACTGAAGGAGCCACTCTGCAATTGGTTATAGACTATGCAAAACTAACATTCGACGAGGTTATTAGGATCTACATTCGAAAATACAGCCCCTTATATAAGCTAAAAAAATACTTACATGCTAACCCATGAATCCTACTCAAAGTTTTCTCTACCCTTGGCACAAATTCGGATGTTAGCAGAGATGGGAATGTCCGACGATTAAACAGCTCTCGTAAGAGGTAATTATATACTGTACAAAATTATAGAAATGGAGAGATGCCAGCTATGTAACTTCAAGCAACATGAAACATTAGAACACATAATCAAGCTATGCCCCCAGTACGATATTCCGAGAAATTTATTTATAAAAGATAATATTATATCGATTCTTAATACTGAAAGTTCAGAAGTGCAATTTTTGTTCTACTTTATAAATTCTACTCTTAAGTTACATTCCTTTTTTCTTTCAGAATAGCATTTCCTTCACAATAAGAGAGAGTTTGAGTAGATTGATTTGATCTGTTGCAACATAAGAAGACTGTAGGGACTTATAGTTGATTGAGACAAATAAGACTATTATATAATTTTCTGTAAATTATTTTCAAACGCCTTCTTTAACATTGTTGATGTAACTTCTGAAAGAATATTTTTTCTAATTCTACTAACCAGAAATACATGAAAGAGCTACTTTGTAAATGCCTGAACCTACCATCGGCAACTGTAATAGTTATGGCCTGCTATACAGTTTCAAATGAATTAAATAATTTAAATAAACGTGTTGTGACTATCAAGGACAGCGAAAAGCTAACTGTCAAGGAAGATTGTACAATTACTTCAAATGTTGTTTATAAGGAAGCGTTGTAAGTTGTTCCAGGAACACGTCTCTAATGCTGAATAAACCTTTATTCAAAATTTGTTTCGAACATCAAATTCGTTGTTCTTTATTTTTATTTTAAATTCTTTAAGTAATTGAAAGTTGCCTTTTTAATTCCGTTTAACAATAAACACGTTTTGTTAACAACTTCCTCTCTTAATATGGACAAGGAAAGTTAGGAAAGAGGGTGGAATTTAACATGCTAAGGTTCTCGCACGGGTACGTTAGTGTGTTTATATTTTCCTTATTGAATTATTTTAGCGGCACAATTATGTTACTTTCACACCATTGTGGAGTGCTGCAACCCCTTCATGAACTACTCCAGCAATCACATTCCGTTTTGGTAGGTAGATCCCCGCCAACTTACCTCCTGTGCCTCGTGCAGGGCGGTGTAGTCATCTGGCAGTACGCGCAAGAGCTCCTCGGGCAGGGCTCTGGCGGGGGTGGTGGCGGGCGCGGGGGGGGAAGTGGAGTTGGAGTTGACGGGCTTCCCCCAAGGCGACCACTCCTCCTCCGGCGGTGTCAGGAAGGTGAACAGTCGCCTGTCGAAAACAACATCGCCCCGCATCACGATTGTGGATTTTGAAATAAAAATCCATTGTAATGTGGTAAAGGAAATAATCTCCACCAAACTTTTGTAGAGATTATTTCCTTTACCATATTATGAATTACCACAAGATATCTGCTACCACCACGGAAACATTCATTGGTTGTAGCTTTGGAACATATAAACATATCAGTCGCCTAATGCAGAAGTGTCCAGATGCTCCCGTTGCACAAAGATACCCCAGATTCTGCGTTAAAGTCCATGCAGAATGGCAGGTCCAGTTTAAGGGGGTTTTCTGCCGAAAATTGCCGTTTTTTATGTCAGCATTACATAACTTTCTTTCTACTCCGTAGGAAGAAAGTAAAAATAAAATTTTATGTAATCACATTTATTTTAAAATATTTTATAATTGTTATTATGATTAATAGAACTTTTATGAAGCCTTTTAATGATGCATCCCCCTTAATGCACTAGTTACTAATTCAGTGGTACTTGTAATTCAACCATCACTTAAAATTTAAAGCGTTTATCTCGAAAGTCGTCCGAGACCCTGAAAACGAATCTATTTCCCAACATACTAGTCGAGAAATTCGTAGTCAGAAATGTTAAATTTTAAGTTCAAGAATGAAGGAATTTTCACTAACAAAGCAATGATTTACATGTGAAATATTCGCACGGGGCCCCCTAAAGATAAAATATCAGCCAAGTAAAAACATCGAAACAAATATAGATGTTAAAAACCATCGGCTTCAGTGTTTAATCCATGGATGATTTTATAAGAACATCAATGATTTAAAAATATTAACATCGATTTAGCATCCTTACACAAAACTTTTCAGTGGAAAGACATTGGTGAGCTATTACACATCGTATCCGACTTAAGTCAATGAGCTTTAGGCACCAGTTTGTGCCACAATATAAGCGGTAATTTTAAATGCCATGGGTTTAGATATAAAATTTAGATACCATAATGATCACCTTGTTACAAGTCATTGAAACAGATACACGAAGCACTATTCTTTAAATATTGCATCTTTTATTTCTATTACACCTTCATCGTGTTATTGTTTTGTTGGTCACTATTGGAAAGTGTCACTTTATGCCACTTTCAAACACTTTTTCAATCCCCAAGCAGCATGACGACCAGTATCTACTCCTGCTTTTCAAACGAAGTGCTCGAGATCACGTGGTTCGTAACGTAAATTGTTGTTGTGCAGAACCTGCAAAACTTGGTGCACATGACTAGCTTACACATGCCTTGCTACCCACTATACTCTTATTTAAACATAGTGACACTTCAAGGTCATGAATGGATTGATTTATTGATAGTGATTCCGAGCGCGTCAACTACTATGGTCATTAGTCCCATAAATGTAGTGCATGCTCTTCTTCGAGAGATGGGAGTGGTGATCATCCCCCGCTGGATGGTGAGATACGGCGCCGACCTACCGTCGGCTAATCTGGTCTTCCTCAACCAGGTATCTCCAATCAGTGGGGCACCACCTCAGTCGGGAATAGTTCCCGAACCGGTCTCTCGGCACCCGTGTGCTGGTGCCGGGCATGTTGGTGTAAGTGTGTGTGTGTGTGTGTGTGTATGTGTGTGAGGATAAGGCAAGGAAGAGGTAGGAAAGATCCCGCGCGGTCAGTGGCCCGTTTGTTAGGTACTGCGCTGGCATTTGCCTGGTGCTGATCGGAGAAACCACGGATCACCACCGATCACAGCAGCCTGCCACTAGAATTCTTCTCCAGACAGTGACTGGACACGACCGCAGTGACAAGCTAGTGTCGAAAGTTCTGCAACCGTCGGGACTGGAACCTAGGACCTCCCGGTCAGAGGGACTGCAGTGACATCAGTGGATGCCCTGAGCCATCTCTCCCGGTGTCACGAATGGAAGGAGTAAATCATTGTTATCCGATCGGGAGCACCAATACCAAAAAGTTAAGTCGTGACGAAGCTCCCTATTGTACGACAGTGCCCCTCCCCTCTCCGTTCAGCTCGTGTTCTTGACCTGCCACTATGTTTAAATCGGAGTGTACCTTTACCCCCAAACGCCGTGGTGTCGTACCTGACGGGCGCGACGTCGGGGTCGCGCAAGACGGAGGCGGCGGCGGGCGGCAGGCGCGCGCGGAGGCAGGCGCCGGGCCCCGCTACCAGCTTCAGCGGCGACGCCGCCGCCAACGGAGCAGGTAGCAGCGGCAGCAGCGGCGCCGTGTGCGCGGTGGTGTTGGCGGCGGCGCCCGCGGACGCCGTCACCGCCGACAGGGACACCCCGAACGTCGACGCCGGCGGCAGCCCTGTCACCTGCCACGGAACCAATGGACTGCACTCGCGTTCAGTCGACAGATTCTTGTTGTTTTTTTATAATTCGGTTACTAATGGTATCAAAGCCTTTTTGGTATTAATCTTGGAATAATTATCATTTAACTTAATCGCTCATAGGTCACGTCAAATTGTTAGTCTCTTTTATGCCGTATAGATGAGCCAACGGCTCAGTGCCGTTAGTATGCGGGGTTCCCAAACGGTCACCCATCCAGGAATCCGGTGAACCTCGAGGTGCTCTCGAGATGCTTAACTTCCGTGACTTCACATATCTTGGTTGGGACGATCGGCTACAGATCAAATTCATTATTAATTTGACAATTTTTCATTTCGTCAAGTTTTTTAAGTTCGAAGATTTGCTGTTTTTTAATGCAAGGTTAGTGAGTGTAATGATCAATAATTGTCTGACAGATGAGTCCTTTTTCATTAACTTTTCAGTGGAAAATATTCATTTCATTTTCAGAGAGATGTTTAATTCTGTGTTCACGCAAAAAGTAGTGAGTATTGTTCCATAATTTGAACTCCCCTCATTTCATCTCTTTTGGGGAATAATAACGTCATGAAACAATATTTTTTGGGCGGGGGGGGGGTCGATACGCAGTACGGTATATTACTGTACCTATAACTTGTGTGCAATGTAAACACAGGTATTCAGCAAGAATCCTATTAAACCCTGTTTAGGACAAAGAACTTCTATTACAGGGAATTTGAGGTTGGCTGGTATACCAATACCACACATACAGATACGAAAAAAATCAATAAACTAACAATACACAATATTTACATCTAAATGGTTTATGAAGTTTTGTCTGAATTGTTTTTCGATTGTGTGCAAATGTTATCTACTATTCAACGCAGTGTTTGGTAAAGGGAGTTGTATAACTTATTGTGAATGTGGATGTATGTTGGTTTGGAAGTTGCTCTTGACAAAATCGATCATCTAAAAGCATGAGAAATCTAAAATTAATCTTTAGTGAAATTAATGTTTTTTAAATATTATTTTCTTTTCAAAGATGAGATGAAATTTTATTTCCAGTTCTTACTTTTACAACTTATGAGTACATATATTTTGCAAGAGTGATTTTTGTTTCACTAGTGAATAAAAACTATTTTATTGTAAATAACAAAGAAACTATAGTTTGCGTAGCGTCAATAGAAAAATGCATGTATTATGCACTTTTTGATAAAATATTTTAACATAAAAATAGTTAACATATGAATTTTAAAATAAGGAGAATTTTATGTGATTGATTGTGCATGTAAGGGACGCAATTAAACAAACCGTTTGTATGGAAAAATTGAATTTATTAACTTAATTAGATAACGAACTTGTATGGAAGGCAAAGAGTGCCACATAGCAACACGTTCGCGGGCATCCAAATTTGTTCGCAACTTGTTTTCGATATAAACTTTCCGTTCAATGCTACGATAGCGCGGACAACAAAGGTCACGGGCACTTGGGAGTTGAAATAAGAAATCCAAGCAAGATAGAAAGGACAGACAAAGAAGAAATGCCGAGTGCATATAGAAACACATACTAGGTTCTCGAAGAAAGTAAAATAATAAACACGGAAGGAGAGACTACGACATAGGAAATGAGTTTGATGTAGCACGTGGTCATTTATGCACCGATAATGAATTAACATAGCGACAACCACACAGATAATGAATTAAGGATAATGGATCTGCATTGAAAGAAGTAAATTTTCGGATAGCAAAGACCCATGCATAATTTCAGGCGAATGGGAGGAATCTGAAATTAATATCAGAGTAGCGAAAAGATATCACTGAGACAGTGTAGTTCCCTTCATTTATTTCTTCATGCCTGGCAGTGGCAACATATTGCGAATAATTTTTAAACAGCGCAAATTTGAGATAGTGAATAGCAATACGTCAACAATATAATTTTATATTAAAAAATGAACATTTTCTCATTGATTTCAAAACAAGTAAATTGTACAAAGAATTGTGAAGAAATCGCAGAGTATAAAATTATTTGCATTGTTTAAAGAGAGCACATTGAAATTAGGGTGGGGAGAATAACTCACACAATAGATGCTATCAGCCTTGCGATTATAAAAATAGTGAAAATATTCCGCAAACGGAAACACGTTGATGATAACACTAATGAATTACATCTGTAGTGGTGTAAACTCGTGCAGTTGTTAATAAACATATAAATACGCATATCAAACGGAAAAGATTTTAGAGAGGTAATGATTAGAAATAAAAGGAGAAAATAACGCATAAAATGAAGTAATAGTATGGTTAGAATTTAAAAAAATGCGAATAGAGGTAGATTAGAAATATCAAAGAAGGTATCGCGAAAATGCAGGAAGCAAGAACGTCTCTTGAAGTGCAGGAACGTCCTCCCGGCATTCAGCACGTGATACTCTGAAGGTACATTGTAAACAGAAAGCAAGGTCGACCTCACAGCACATGCGAGATAGCAGGGGGGCCAACTGTTCAGAAAGGCGTAAGGCAAACATGCCACGCAGGTGATCGTCAGATGATCATTACCCATGATGGCACCATTGCCCATGTTTAGTTTTTGACGCGCGTTATCTCTGCCGCGACTTCTTTGTACATAATCTCTAAAATCCAGGTCAGTAACTTGTCACCACTGTTACTTAAACAGTTCGGATATTTATTTTAGCCTTGTTTTCCCTATAAATAGGGAATAATCACATATTCGGAGTTTTATTTATTTTAAAAGTGTTTAATAAAACACCCGACCGCCGCTCCCTATCATTTATTACTGACCAATTGTATGGGAAGTTTAAATATGACGAACGTCTTCTAACTTGAATGTGAACGAAAATATTACCGACATTCTCTATCACAAACGAATTTTATTTAGGTGCATTAATGAAGTGAATGTTTTCATGGAGATGAGTTTCGAATAATTGCAAAAAGTGCACGAATACTATTTTCCAGAAATATAAATGTGACCTTATTGTGAACCAGTTTTACTTCTGAAGTGTGAGATTACATTTACGGATCGCTGTAGTTCATCCACCCGATGTTAGGTGACCTCACGCGTAACTAAAAATTGCCGATGTGTACAAATATTGCCATAAATTCCGAGATACAATGATAATCCTTGAGTAATAGATAATGGATGAATATGAAGACAACATGGAAGGAGACACCCAGAACGTTAAAGCAACTCACGAAAGTAATTTTTTTACAACAAATACCTCATTGAAATTTGTTTGTTGACTTGAAAATAATCAAAGTAACTCAGACAATCATCAGAAAAAGTCGTGAATGGTAAACATGCCACAACAATGAAATGAATCAATTATCTACATTGTTAGACACAATTTCCCTACAATCAACAAACAACAAAAAGCTCATTGAAATTTGTATCTTGACTCAGATACAGTCATCAGAGGAAGTGAGACAAGTCACCAGAGGAAGTCGTGACTGGTAAACACGTCACAACAATGAGATTAATCAATTATCTACATTGTTAGCCAGAATATTCCCTACAGCCAACAAAACCAAGCCCAGATGTTTCCTGCTTCCTCATCGATTTCACGTCGGTCACCGTGTAAACGCAACCGTTCGAGAGTACGCAGGCAAAGGCGAAGAAGAAGGAAAGAAGAAGAAAAGAAGAAGAAGAAGAAGAAGAGAAGAAGAGAGAAAGAAGGAAGGTTCGTAAGCAGTCTGGGCGCATTGTGCCATGGTCCTAACCAATTCTGGGAAGAACTCGTGCATGAAACGAGCTGAGAAACGCAGCTCCACGAGAGGAGGCGTGGCAAGCGATCTGACAAGGCGGGCCGCATAAGCAGCGAAAGGGCAGGGGTGAAGTCACATCAGTCGCTTGCAAACGGCTCCCACGCGACTTCGCGATGGAGATACTCCTAATTAATAGGGAAACAATACAACAGCACTGATACACTGATAATGCTAGTAATTGATTTAAACTTATGAAAGTCGATAAAAAAATTGACAAAGGTCAATCAAGCGGCGAGAAAAGATTAAATAGGCGGCGGTAGGAAAATTAAGAAGAAAGGAAATAAAAATAAAAGAACGAAATAGAGAAGAGAGTATGTGCCAATGACCACTAAATAGATGTCTTCAAAGACGTATTTGTTTGGTTGAGAAGAGGAAAAATCAGCACATGTAGACACCAAGAGAGTTACATCTGAATTTGAAAGGGGCGAATGAGAGAAGGAAATGAAAAGGGTAATATAACCTAGTAAAATTCTAAATCTTGGAATTTATCTTTCAAACAAAAAAATGTTTCAAGCATCAGATTCTGTACAATATGCAGTAATAAGGAAATGAGTAGTTTAGAGAGAATTTGATTCGTTACGTAATTTTTTGAATGGCTGATTTAGTGAGTGGTATATTTAATATTGCAGTAGTATTTCTGTTCTAGATTGAGACGTTGAGTGTCAGATTGCGTGGTAGATTAGAAGTGTGCGTGATTGAGTAGTATATTGAATGGTTCGATGTTAGATTGAGTTGTGGATTGACTGGTTGGACAGAAGATCGAATGGCTGATTTGTAGAATATGTAATATTTTCAGTGATAGAGTGTCGAAGAGACTGAGTGCTTGAGAGAATAAGTAATTGAGCGATTGAATGGGTGATCGAGTCTGCATCATCTACTGATTGAGAGTAGATTAATGACTTACCGATAGATCAATGGATGATTTCAGCCATGTCAACTGATATGGTCATTAGTCCTGTTAGAGTAGTGAATGTTTAATTACAGGAGCTGGCAGTGTTCTTCCCTAACAGAGTAGAGATATCGGGCGCCGACATACACGTCAGCTTTAGGGGGCTTTCCACATCCAGGTATCACCCAAGCTTAACACAAGCAGGAACAAGATTTAAGCACTGGTCAAGAATAATGCACGAACGTGTAACTGTGTGTAAGAGAGGAGAGGATACGACAATGTAAAGGAAGGAAAGATCGCGCAAGGCCCGTGGCTTTTTTGTACTACTCCGGCATTCGCCTTGTACTGATCGCATAAACTGCGAAAAAACACCGAACATCGCAATCGGCCGCTAGAATTCTTCTCAAGACAGCGGCTAAATTTGATTTGCCTCTCTACCTAGAATCCAAAACCGACGGGACTGGAACCCTAGTGAGAGAGTGGACGAGCTAGTGAGATAGTGGACGGGCTAGTGAGAGAGTGAACAAGCTAGTGAGAGAGTGGACGAGCTAGTGAGAGAGTGGACGAGCTAGTGAGAGAGTGGACGAGCTAGTGAGAGAGTGGACGAGATAGTGGTCCAGCTAGTGAGAGAGTGGTCCAGCTAGTGATAGAGCGGACGAGTTAAGCGAGCGAGAGAGTTAAGCGAGCGAGTTAAGCGAGCGAGTTAAGCGAGCGAGCGAGTTAAGCGAGCGAGCGAGTTAAGCGAGCGAGCGAGGTAACCGTGAGAGCGAGTTAAGTGAGTGGAGTGAGCGAGTTAAGTGAGTGAGAGAGTTAAGTGAGCGAGCGACTTAAGTGAGCGAGCGACTTAAGTGAGTGGGCGGGCGGGCGGACAAGTAAAGCGCACAAGCTGAGCAAAGAGGCCGCACCTCGTACTCGAAGAGGTCCTGTCGATCGGCGTCGGCCGGCGGCACCTCCACCACCTCGATGCGGTTGCGCACGCAGCAGGCGCCCGTCGCGTGCGAGCGCACGTGGTGCACGATGAGCACGAAGTTGCGCAGCACGCCGCCCCGCACCGCGGGCGCGCGCCAGCGCAGGCGCAGCGCCGTCGCCGACAGCGCCTCCGCGCGCAGCTCACGCGGCGCGCTGGGGCCTGCAGCACAGCGCAGCGCAGTCAACCTCCTGGCCTTTTACGGTTCACAATTCAGTGCACAATATTATCGATTGAGAAAACTACGCGCGAACAGTCAATACGTTCAATAGGTTCAGCATTGAACAACTTAGTTTTTACATTCTTGGCTATCCGGGATGAGCCGTGTCTCGGTCAATTGCGCTGACGTTTCGGCCATCTTGCTGTGGCCTTCTTCAGAGCTATACTGCTATATGCCACAGCAAGATAGCCGAAACGTCGGTACAATTGACCGAGATGCGGCTTATCCCGGAGAGCCAAGAATGTATTGACTCCGACCGCGTTCGATTAAAAAACTAAAGGTAAGTAGTCAATATTTTCAACATTCAACCATATAACCTTTTACAGTTTACAAACTGTTGAAATGTCTACTACAATGGAAATATTATTGATTTAAAAAACTAAGCATGAAGAGTCAATAAGTTCAATATTCAACTATCTAGCCCTTTGCAGTTTAAAAACGGTTAATATTTCTACTATAACGGAAATAGTATCGATTGAAAAGTCTAAGCGGGAAGAGTGGATAGGTTAAATATTGTTGATTACTCTTGGGCAGATGGTACGTCTATGACTGTTTATCAAAGTATACTCAACAATACATTAAAAACATACAGACTTTTCAAAAGAGCCAATTTATGGGCCGAATATGACACTGTTTTTGCTTTTCAGGGGCAAATTTTAGAGTTGGTTACATGGGGAGCTAAAAAAGAGAAAACAGTTGCATGTTGCATTATATAAATATGGTCACGTTCTATTGAATGCAAAACTTGGAATAAGCAGGCAGGAAGCAAAGATAGATGAAAATTATTTAAATGAAACTTATTTTATTGTTAATTTTAGCTCATCTAGTTGTATCAAGCTGAAATAGCAATACAACAAGATAAAGTGTCCAATAATTAAATACTAATTAATTGTTATATTTTCGAATTAATTGATTCCTACTTTTCGTGAAGAACATGAGTATGTGAAGCATTGATATGTGGAGATGTTGAGTCAAAAATAGCAGGTGTGTGTGCTGACTTGACAAGCCAGAACACACTCGTTCGCTTAACGAAAACGGGGGAAATTAATTAAGAATTAATTACACACTTTTATCCAGTAGTCCTGACACGACATCTCACTTGATTTGGTTGATACGTGCTCTACGTATCACACAAACTTATTACGAGCAGCAGGTCAACGCACACTTTTGTATACAAAATTATTCGAATTAATATTGCAATTTATTTTTTCCTTTAAGAGCAAAGCTCTCAGAGAGATTATTTGCACTCTCTTTGTAATAGAATTTAACTTGACGCCAGATATTTTCGAATTATTGAGGTTCAAACGTATCTTATCAAACCGTAAACAGCCTCAAACTAAACAAAATACAGCAAGAATGATAAATTGAACACAACATTAATAACTTATTAATGGGTAAGGGAATCAACATTTTGGTCCACTAATAAATTATTTTTAATTTTATTTTTATTCTGATAGCCAGTGCCGTTTTGGACAATATTGAAGAAATTCAAAGAGAGGAAACTAATGCAGAACCGGAGTATTATACTATGCTCACTTACTTCCTTCGGTGGTTTTTGCCTCCAGATGAACTGTATGTACTTGAACTTCAGTGTTGTTGAGCGTGGAGATGTGTACCTGAAATTGTTGAGAATAAACAGGTTTGAAAAGGTATGCTCTTGTTATAATATATTGATAGAAAAATAAGAAAGGATATTTTAAAGCATCTAGAGTGGTGCGTCCTTTTATCTTTTGCTTTTATTTAACCTAAGAATGAGAATCTGATTTTTTCGTAAGAATGGTGGCGATCATTCTTGTACAGCTATCGATTCGTATTACAATGGTAAAATGAATCCCATAGAATGTTAACGTCCCTTGGAGTGTGGAATGGAGTGAAAGTAGTAATTTGCATGAAGCACTTCAAGTTCAGCATACAACAAACTTCATCACATGTGTTGACCTGCGATTTGATAAGAGAAATTATTAATTGATTAGTGATTCTAGGCGTGTCAACTGCTAAGTTGATTAGTCCCCTAATTGTAGTGATTTTTTATTGCAGGACATGGCGGTGATCTTCTCCCACTCGATCTGGCGCCAACCTACGTTGCTTGTTAGGGTTTTCCCCAACCACGTATCTCCCACCAACGTGGCACCACCCCACTGGAAAAAGCACTAACCTCCCGACAAGTGTGGTAGAGTAGTGTATGTTAGTGTTAGTGTGTGTAAGGAAGGGGTAGGGATATATCAAGGAAGAGGAAGGAAAGCTCGCACGCGGTCCGTGGCCCGTTGTGCAGGGTAATGCACCGGGACAATTCACTTGGCGGGGATACAAGAAACCGAGGAAAACTACCGATAAGAGCAACCGACTGCCAGAATTCTCCTTTAGCCAGTAATTGAAATCAACCTAGCTGAATAGCTAATGTCAAAAATTGGTCTCCGTCGGAATTCTACAACCTCCCGGAGGCACTACAGTGACATCAGTTGGTGCCCAGAGTCACCCTTCCCGTATGTGGTCAAACAAAAGTGTATTTCGTAGCTTCTGTCAGCACAAATTGTAAGATCACACCGGCCTGCTGCTATGCCCCCGTCTAATCCATACCTACCAGAGTACACAATACACACAGTCCATGTTCTCCTTGTTCTAAAATAAGCCAATGGACGTCAAATCAAGGATGTAGGATCTCCTCTTCTACCATACAGCTTCATTAAAATCATTTCCTATTCTCGCCGCAGAAGCGCTGTGTAATGGGGGTATCACATAAGAAGAAAGGCAGGGAGTTCCGCCTCAAAGCGACTTCGATTGATTGCGATCGTTTTCGCATAGTTTGAAAGAACGCAAAGTTAAAAATTCGATAAAAATAAATTTCCTCACAGTTATGAACTCAGAAATAGTAAATCCCCCCTGACCATCAAAACAAATATTTTATTTGGTAATTATCAATGACGTACTCCACACGAAAAAAATGAGTATTTTCTTCGTTCCTTCCTCTGAAATTCGCCACTGAAATTCGTGCACCTTATTAGCAGAGGCTAATCCGGAATGTGTTTCGGGTGGAGACCTCTCTCCCACCCCTCCACATACATTTTTTAAATAAATAAAAAAATAAAAAACATTAGCTTTCAATTAAAATCTCTTTGGGGGTATATTCCATATCCATCCATAACGATTATATTGCTTTGATTGTGAGTCAATTAATAAGAGGTAATTGTTTCCAATAAATTGAGTAAAATTACAAACAATATTTGGCATTTGGCAGGACGCATGACCTTCCCCCTCTTTCCGCCAGTTCTCCCTAGGTCCGCCTTTGATAGTGGGAGGGGCTCTCATAAGAAGGTGGGGGTCACTTACATCGCTGCTGATTAAACAGGGTTTTCTGAAAAAGCCGGGGGCCATTTTTCACCGCCATTTTTTAAACCGCTTCTTAAAACTTTCTGCACCCTACAACATTCGCTTGTGGGACTCACCCAGATATCGTATCGCGTGTCGGCTTGCAGGCGGGAGAGCGTGAGACATCGCATGGCGGGCCAACGCGGGCAGGGTTCCGACCACGCAGCAGCGCTCTCGTTGCGCCCGCCGGCCGCCAGGGTCGTCACCGCCACGCTACGAAAAGTGCTGCCCTCGGGCGGCAGCCAGCGCAACGACACACTGTCGCGCGTCGCCTCGTGAACGCGCACTTCCTCCGCTCCTGCGAAGACGTGACGAGTACCATTGAGATTCAGGGGTATTTTTGACATGTTTTGAATGGGCTCGTTCACATCCAGATAATAATATTCCCATTCACAATGCAAACGTAAACATAAGCATAATACATAGACGTAAACATTAACATAAGTGATAGACTGAAGTATTCACAATGTCTAAAATAAGACTTTCTATTGGCTGTGAGACATTCTAGTTTACTATTGGTTGGATGTGAGAATCGATTTCGAGGTATCGGCTCTATCCATGGCCCATATGGCGTTAGTTTCCCTATCGAATTCGCTCGTCTTTCGATTCTTGATTTTGAGTTAACGTACTGTGATTGCTTCATTTCTTATGTCTTACTTAAGCATAAGCACAGAAGCTTGAAGCTCGCAGGCGTTGAAGTAAACGCCTTACGTGTTATGCTCATGTAAACGCATTGTTAATGAGTCCGCTTATGGACGTTGTCGTAACTTTTATGTTAACGTTATGCTTATGTTTGCATTGTGAATGGGTCTTTAAGGGGATGACAAGTGCGTATAATACGAATACAATATTTGCGTTGTGATTTACGACATATTGATACAGACGTACATATAACGCAACTAAGATCCAAAATACACCAAATGACGTACATGTAAGAACAATCTAATACTTTGTAGCAAATAGGAAATATAATCTGTGAAAATTGATCATTATTATAGAATATTATTAAAATAATTAACTCCTCAGCAATGAATTGTATTTTTAGACCAGTTTCTCATTTAGAAATAGAATTGTTTTCCTTTGTACTTCGTTTTTAAAAAAATATTGAATATGGAAGGTACTGAAGTGAAGTAATATTAGCAGGTACAGTAACGAAAACGAACTAACGAGACTAATGCAAATGACGTGTAAGATTTCAAAAATCATTGGATAAAAAATGGAAAAGTTGGGGCTGCTAAATCGCGGAACTGATTTTATACATTTGGCCGAAGAAAACAGATTTAACAGCCTCATGCTTAACATATTTTAAGAGAAAGTGGGTTCAAGTCATGCGAAAAGGAATTGTTTTATTGTTGAAATTACGCAAAGTTAAGCGCCTGCGGGTTAGGCAACACACCATTCACTTCAAGTTCCCAAAAGAGTGTGGATTTTGCCTACAATTGCTGCACAAGTGACACCTGATTAATTATCTTTCAAAGCAAAAATTATGTAGAAAGGGAAGAATCTGGGTGAAAGAAGGGAAGCATCTGAATATAATAGACGGTTGAGAGAGTGATCAGTGATCAGGTATCACGATGTTGAGGAAGTGAACAGGAGTAAATGAATATTCTACATATTAACGAGAACATCTGGATGTACAAGTTCGAGTGATTGAAATATTGAATAAAATTATTAATTTGAATTTTGTTAAACTTAAAGATATTCAGTTTGAACTGAAAGTTCGACTTACAAAGAAATCACTCCATTTGGATCAATGAAGGACCTACTTTACATACCGAATTGTTGTGGAAGCGAGTTGCAACAAACGAGATCTCCTTGTAATTCGGATATTTTCTTTCCCCCTGAGTGTGTAGTTGACCCTCCGTTACATTCGCATAGCTCACCTTCCGGCAGCGTGGTGACGAAGATGGTTGTGCCCAGCGCGGGGTCCCAACCCGCGGGCGAGACGAGGTGCAGCGTGATGGCGTACTCCGTGGCCGGGCGCAGGTCCCTGAAGCGCTGGCGCGTGCCCATGACGAGTCCCGAGAAGCCCGCCTCGCCCCGCGCCCCGGCCTCGTCCTCGCTCTCGTCCTCGCCCTGGCCCTCGGGGCGGGCGGCGGGGCGGATGGCGTAGTGCATGCCGTCGAGGGCGCCGTTGGCCGCGCTGCAGTTGCCCGGGAAGTGCCAGCGCAGGGTGAAGCCCCGGCTGCCCAGCTGCTGCACCTCCACCAGCGACGGGTCCGGCCGCGCGCTCGGAGCTGCCAAGAACACACACCGATTGCGCACTTGCGCCTATTGCGTACGTACGTGTCTTGCGCATATACGCCTATTGCGCACGTTCGCCTATTAAGCAGATCGGTCCGTAGCCTGCGCACACGCACGCCCGTTGCGCACACGTACGCCCATTGCGCACACACGTTCACGACTCGTATCTGCTCTTTACGCACGTGCGCTCTTTGCGCATACACGCCTATATCGCACACTATTGAGTTGATGTTGAATTTGCATCACATGCAAATTGCACATCGTCATAATTGGAGGATTTTTAAGACCTAAATCATCGCCAATGATTTTCAATAAAAGGCTCATAAAGTGTTTTTAAAATGCACTAAAACCAAAGATAATGACGTAAAAAAATTTGCGTCAAAACCACTTCAGGTGAACAACTTAAGCTCTGGGATATGTTGCTGATGTAATTGAGGCTTCTTCCTTTCGTTCAAGTAATAGGTTTCAATTGCAAGTATTCAATGTACCTTCGTATATATCATTCTTGTGATAAACACGGAAAACATAAAAGAGGCGAGGGAATTCTAAATATTATTAGGAAAATTAATTTCATACATTTTGTTACATTCATTAAGGTAAGGTTGATAGCAGGATTTTCTATTATAGGCCAAAATAATATCGATGGCAATATGTGTAAAGGTGCTGATTATTATAAATCATAATTTTGTATTAATGTATATGCTATATTTTCTGTCTTAACTTTTTTACAGCACTTTCTTCTGTGCAAAATATTGCACGGGTTCAGCTAGTTGTTAAAAGCAGACATCTATTCTCAGCGTATTATATACAAAGAAGATGATTGGTAAAATTGAAGGTAATATATTTGAAGATCTTATTTCCAACGTGTCGTATCTCCATTACAATTTGTTTTCTAGTTTTACACATCAATACGTCTATAAGATGCTTTACTGTTACGCTACCAAATATTGTTTTCGAAACATTTCTTTCTCCTACGTTAAACGTTATCCAGAAACCGTTGAATCCTGTCATGAAATTTACAAGGGACAGTCAAAAAGTAATCTCCTATTTTCTCTACTTATATGAAATTAGAGAAGTGTAAAATTTGAATTTGGTTCTATTCCTCAAACCTTCTCTTACAATACATTGCAACAGCAACTTTCTGCGTAAACATGTGACAGCACAAACATCGATGTCGGTCATTTTGTACGTGCTGCTTCATGTTTAGGCAGAAAGTTGCTATTGCAATGAATTTTGGAAGACGTTGTGACGAATAGTGGCAAATTCTAATTTTTCACTTAACTAATTTGATAAAAGTGAAAAAATAAGAGGTATTACTTGTATATGTTACTTGTATATGCTATTATATGTGCGCAGTCCGGATCATCGCGTGTAAATGTTGAAATGAAACTATTTTGTTCATGCGCGTTCATTACGCGCAAACATCCATTTCCCAAACACGTCCATTGCGCACACACGCCCCAGAGCAGTTGATTTTGCTTGAAGTGTTGTGTGATCGTTAAAACGATGTATGTAAGTACTTTGCCTTTCTGAAAAACGTTTAAGGGATATTCATCAATTGGAAACGAGCTCTTGAAGAGCAGGGGGAGGACCTACCTGCGGAGCGTGTCTGGAACCAGGCGGCGGCGGGGGGCCCCGGGAGGTGGGCGTCCTCGAGGAAGGCGGCGGCGGGAGGCGTGACGGCGTCGGGGCGCAGCGGGCAGCGCCAGGCGCAGCGGCTGCCCGGCGCTCCACGCGCAGCTCGCGCTCAGCGTCCCAGAGCTCCGCGACAGGCGCGCGACAGCCGCTCGCACTGCACGCACGGGGCGCGCGCAAGCGCAGCACACTTAACTATACGGTCGTAGACGGAGGTGGGAGTGGTGGCGGACTGTGGTAGTGGGAGTGGGGGTGGATGTGGTTGAGATGGATGATGTGGTGGTTGGGGATGAGTGGTGGAGGTGATGGTTGTTAGGTGGGTAATTGTACCGGTGATATAGAGCGAGAAAATGGTGAAAATATGGGGCAGTGCTGTATGATGCGCCCTGATTTGGTGGTGCGGTAATACGAGGCGAAGGACGAGGAACAGGAAGAAGAAGAATGAGGAAGAAGGAAGCATGAAGGAAGAATATGAGGTAGGAGGCGGAGTGAAGCGGCAGCGGCAGCGGCAGCGGCAGCGGCAGCGGCGGCAGCGGCGGTGGCGGTGGTGGCGGTGGTAGTGGGTGTTGGTGGTGTTCAGATGTAACGATGTGGTGCAGAAATGGTGTGGTGAGTGATGTGTGGGTTTATGAGTGATGTGATGAGATTTGTAATGTGTGTTGTGATGTATGATGTGTAGTAAGACGTGTAGTGTGATGAGTAGCGAGATGTATAGTGTGATGAGTAGTGAGATGTATAGTGTGATGTCTAGTGTGATGAGTAGTGAGACGTATAGTGTGATGTGTAGTGTGATGTGTGGCGTACAGGTTGACGCAGAGGTAGTATGGAGTGGTGAAGAGAGTGATATTGCGGAGATGATGTGATAAAATGGGTTGCGCGCGCAATGTTACAATGAGTCTTAATATACATCATGATCCAAAATTGCCTTCAGATTACTCTGAACGTCAGATGTTAGAACGTCAGATTAATTTTGTTAAGTAGTGTGCAATACTCTAATTTGCAAAAACGCAAGCGCATCTCCACCATAAAAGAACGAATACGCCCGCAATAGTGATGAAAATTTAGATACACACGATGAGACGGCCATCAGTTTGGCACAGCGAAGAAAAATCCTTCCCCGTACCAAAGCAATGACCCTGTTTAAGGCAAAAGTAACTGATTGTGCCAAATCATTTTTTCATTATTCTTCATTTTAATGCTCTTTACGAAGAAGTCATACTTCGTACTTTATGTATTCATTACCACACGACAACAAAAGTTGAACATGTTGATGGGGACAATGCATTCTATCAAGAGGCAGTGTTTGATAAGTCTGACTCTTCGTATACAATACTTCGTATACAATATCCAGACAAGAACGTCCAAACAACAACATTTTTCACGTCCCTTTCCGGAGGAATGATATAATTATGGCTGACAGAAGCACCGCCTCGCGGCTTAGAAGGCCATTAGGAATCACACAATCGAATTAATTTCCATTGTTACCTTTAGAGTGAAGCGGTAGATGAGTGGCACGTCCGAGCAGCAAGAAGGAGGCTTCCAAATGACAGTCGCCGTGCGGTCCGCAACATCCCTCACGTCCAGATCTTGCACAGGACCCACATCTGAGTGTGTGAAAATACGTCAAGGGTCCATGAATATCTAATTCGTAATTTAATTTTCGAAAATCATTCATTGAATAATGGAATTTTATTAACACATCATTGTTAGTTAAATCTGGTTGAGATGATGTAAACTCCATCCAAGTAAACTGAATGAACACATATTGAACGATAATTCTAGCTCAAAATAAATATTTTTGAACAACAATTCTAGCTCAAAATAAATATTTTTGAACAACAATTCTAGCTCAAAATAAATATTTTTGAACTACTTCGTCAACCCATAACCTCACCCACCTGTATATCGAAGTAACGTTTTCTATACTTTCATATTTTACCACCTTTAATGCTAAAAGTTTTGAAATAAAACGTATTCCTTTGTTTTAAAAAATCTTTCATTTAATATACTTTATTGAACAAAATATCCATCAAAATATGAATTTAAAAAAATATGTTTGGAGAAAATTTTTTTCGAAAAATATTCAAATTATAATCCAACAACTCTTAATAGATAAAACATTTTCTCAACTACTGTGCAACATATCATTGTTGTGTAGTTATATTCGTCTTTCTCAAAACCCCAAGCTTACTTGTACCAATTTGTTAGTTAAAAAGATGAAAAACTAAACTTAACTTTTTCAGTTTCACAAAAGATTTTTATATTTTTCAAAAATATTGATAGCTAAATTTTCTACTTATGAATTTTCAGAGATTCATTTGCCTTGGAAACTGTCTTACAATTTGTTGAACTTATTAAAAAAATGTTGACAAAAACACGATTATGGAATTTTTTCAAAACATTGGTATTATGGACTAAGTTTGATTAAAAAAGAATATTATTTACTTCAAAAGTACTAAGCATGAATATAGTGAAAATTAAAAATCGGCTACGTTTTTCTATAAGAGAGATGGATGGCGTTGCAAACTAGTTCCATTTTTTGAGAGACAGCATTTTTTATTGTTCAAAATGTTGTATTTCGCTTGCAGGTAGTTTCCACCAACTTACCGGGTTTGGCCCATTGAAAATATTAATTGTCTTAGAAAATAATTTATTATCTGAAGTCAATTATTAAATAACTATTCTTCCGGATTTCTTTTTTCATATTCTATGGTCTTTTTTAATACAAATCACACATAGCGCGAATGAAAAACACTTATTAAAACTAATTGTCTTCCATCAACAAAGAAAACACAAAGAAAGAGTGCAAATCAGACCACTACACACGACACACATAATTATTTTTGCTTATAATTTAATACTATTTAAACTATAGTTTTAACTATAATATTGCAGAATATAGCGCAGGAAAGTGAAGACGAATACTAGAAAGACTTTTTGCATGAGCAACATTAGCTGCTCTATCTAGCATAACAACTTACCGATTTCGATCAGGCTGTTCGTCTAGTTTCCCTGATTCTTTCGCGAATGCTGAGACTGGACCTTGATTTGCTTCTGGACCTAAATGTAGCTACATTATCTGTGCGTGTGCCCTAGAGTTCAGTGGCAAATATAGTTACAAAAATTACGGTTCCCATATTCTCGCGGTAGTAAGTCAATTCCTGTATAAATATGAATAATAAAGGCTGATTTGAATTTGCAAATAATTTTTATTACTCTAGAGTGAATATTTTATTATTAATTTTTGCCAAAAATTATCATTTCTATCTATTTTCATAATTCATTTTGTGTTTGTATTAGAGCAGGAGACACACAATTTTTAAGAAACCTGCAGAATACACGTCTCTTCATAGCACGTCACACACGGTTTTTTATTATAAATTTAAATAAATAAATAAATAAATAAATAAATAAATAAATAAATAAATAAATAAATAAATAAAT